CCGGATCAAGAAAGACGTCGCCGAGCTCCCCGTCTTCCGCTTCGACTGGTTCTTCAAAAGCCGGAGACCGCAGGGGCTGCAGCGGAGGCGTAATACATCTGGGTACGGGAAAAGGAGCAGGAAGAGTCCGGCGCTGGTGCAGCGGGCGGCTCGATGGGAGCCGCGCTTCGACGCCAGCGAGCGTCACTCCGTCCGCAACGATGTACAAGCATCCGACGAAAAAGAAGAAGACATAGATGTCGCGGGCGCTGAGTGTCCTGGTTCCTGTTTTCCTTTCACCCTAGCTTGTGACTACCACATAAGATCTGTGTGAATGTCTGTTCGCGCTCGCTGTATTAGGCTTGTATGTGTATGTATAACTACTCGATGCATGTCTCTTGTACTCAGTAGAACTTAGCGCTCAACCTCGGTGCCATATCGCTCTGCGCTGTACCCTTTCAGTCATAGCGCCTACTGCAATGATCAATGTGGACGAAGAACGGTCCGCAGATCCGACGCGGTCATGGTCCTCCGAAGCGCGCGTCCGGGTGCCTTTGACGACTTGACCACCACCACCAGAATTCAAACGGTGGCGTAGAAATTGCTCCACCTTCGCTGTATTTTGCTATCCAGTATCCAGTAACGAAAGGAAGACATGACCCGAGCCGTGCGCGTCGTGGCTCGGAACCTCGTCCACCCCGACGCGTACCTGCACAACGCCAGCTGCCGCGGCGTGCTGCTCAGCGCTTCGAGATCGAGCGTTCGCCGCCTGAGCTTGACAAATTGGTGATGCGCCACACTTTACCGACCGGTACTGGGTTGAGTCTATAGAGGGTCGGATGGTGGAGCACTTGCGTATGACGCACAGGCGTTGCTGCTTGTCGGGGCGGGTTTGTCCCTCGACCGGGCGCCTCAATCTTACCTTGCGGACCAACAGCCGCATACGAGCAATGTTGACCGCATAAATAGTCCTTGCATTCTACCTGTCCGATCACCGGTACGGTGCTCGTGTGGCATCTGTGCTTTGGCTTGCGCTGTGGCTGACTACATATTCTACTTAGCACCGCCTGCGGTCGATCATCCAGACGCGCCCGTTGAAGGTCTCCCCGCTATGGTGGATGCCGTATTCGCGAGGAAGTGTTCACTGATCCTCCAGAGCCTCGCAGTACTTGTATCCGAAAACTGACAGATACTTACATCGCATCCGGCAGGAAGCTATCTTCAACGGCCTTCACTGTGCCACCTGTATCTCTCTTCGCGCACAGGACGCTACAAGGACTCGGACTAGAAGCTTCGGTACGAGCTTTGCTGATTGGCTTGCGGGCCCCAGTGGTAAGTGCGTGTAACCATCCAAGGAAGTTGAGATTGACGGAACGCAGTGCACGGTGCACCCCTCGCTGACGTTGGACGAAAGCAACATGTCCATGTGTACGCGGGCCTCCAAATCGGTGGCGCCCACATCACGCTCGTACGCCGTCTCGTGTGCGGACCTGGACCGCCCATTGTCCCAGTATTCCTCTATTGCCTGCAATGTCTATTTATCCTACTGCGGACGTCAGGACGAATCTGGGCGCCATTTTCCTCGGAGCGCTGATCTCCATGGCGTACGTGCGACAGTTGACTTTAATTGAATGCATGGGCTGACATGCAATCAGCCTGTCCGGCGTGGTGGCTACGCAGGTGTTCGTTTACTTCCGTGTGTACAGCAAGGATAAGCACAGCATGAAGCTACTTGTATGTATCACCTGCGCATTCCGCTTGGTAGGACACTCAGAGTCCGGCAGGTCCTATTGGTATGGGTCATGGACGCCACACACTCCGCTCTCATCTCCACCGCGATATGGATGTACTTTGCGCTTGCGTATGGGGGCCCTGATCAAACAGATCACATCAGTCCGTACGTATCTCTCTTGTCCGCTGTTCACTCCCTTCTCATCGCCTTACTAGGGAGATTGCGCTTACGGTCGCGTTCACGGCGTTGACCACATTCATCGTGCATATGTTCTTCTCATATCGAGCATACGAGCGTACGCCCGTCCATGCTCGCCAGGCGCCTTATATTGATACCTCCCAGTGAGCAAGTCTAACTGGCGATGTACCATACCTATCGTTGCGCTTGCACTCGGCCGTCTCAGTCAGTACCTGCTACGTTGAAGCGGGCTTACCGGATGCTGACTGTGTCTTCCAGTCGCGGCTATCGTATCTACGTACGAGATGGGCTCATTGAAGAGCTATAGCGGCTTCGTGGAGAAGTTTGGGGTACGTCTCGATACTATATCTCCGTCCGGAATTGTGCGTACACGCAGCTAACGTTCGTTCGCAGTGGGTTTTCACGCTCCGATCTCGCTTTCTTCAGCGCCAGACGTCTTGATTGCCGCTGCTATGTGCTATTACCGTGGAGCAGAAGCAGGAGGGCGGGCGAGTACGACCGAGCTCTAGTGGGACTAGCAAGTCGCCTACGTCTGCTAGTCATCTTGAGTATCAGGCTATCCCGCTTGATCCCTAGTACCGCCATGGTAGGGATGCTGTGGGAAGGCTCGCCGCGAGCGCATACAGGCGGATACACGGCTCACTTGTACGCTTGAGGCTCTTCACTACGTTTACACCAGTACGTCCACATCTCAACAGGGAATGTATATCTTCTGAGCGACACGTATAGGAGGGGAATGCTTCGCCTCGTATCTCCTTGAAGTCATCGCTCACTCCTTGCTGTAACATCTTGCGAAACGCGCCCACAAAGTTCAAACCCCGTTTTCGCGTTGAGGCGTGTGTCAGTCGGCCAGGCGATACTATTCGTGTACATGATAGGACGGGGCATACAGATGAAGGGTCCATTGGATCTTGTGGTGGTAATCTAGACAGGCAATGGAATCTCTACACGTATTCGAATAGATGCCTGATCAGACGTTTGGACCGCCAGCCGGTCAAGATGCAAGCGGCCGCTACAAAGGCGAAGAAGGCTATGACGGCCACCAGGCCGGTGCCAAATGATTCGAGAACGAAGTATACGCTCGCAATGCCGAACGCGACGCCGACGCATATCGAGGCGTGTTTCAAGTCGTTCAGATAGCCGACTGTAGCATCAAGCTTCGGGGCAATGGTGTCAAGCTCTGCACGCATCGCTTCCACTGCCTTAGCTTCGGCTTGTGCATGCTGGATTGGCCCGAACTTCTCCGAGAGATCCTTCAATGCCTCCGCATCGGCCATCGTTGCCGCGAGCGTCTCCACTTCGTGCTTCATGCCCTGCAGGGATGCGATATCCTGACCCAGGGATGTAGTCAAGTTGACAACGTCGTCAACCACTTCACGAACAGCTTGAAGTTCCTTGTATAGGAGCGTCAGTGCAAAGTCTACCTGCTGCGGTCTGCGGCCATGCGGCCCTCACCTGTGCGAAGCTCGAGCCGCCGAATGCCTGCACCGTCACGGCACCTCCCTTCGCGTTCTCGGGACCTTGTGCTTGCCCCTCAAGTGAAGTTGGAGAGTTGGTGTCTTCTATGGCCATCTGTTTGAGGGCGTCGACTAGTAGATTGTTTGCTCAGCCCAACCAGCGGCAGCAGAAGAAGACGGTGATGACATACTGAGGCCGGCATGGAACGTGTCACTGACGGCGATAGTATAGTACTTCATCTCGGCTTCCCGTTGTCGGGGAGTAAGTGCGAGGTTGTGTGTAGGCCAAAACCGTTCACGTCCATATAAACAACCCACGGACAAAGAGGACAAAGAGCACCATTGACCTTCCACACGGGGATAGCCGAATGCAGCGACAAAGCGCCTCAAAGGGCCATCTGTGTGGAGATTGCCGCTTTAATGGTGTTGTCTTTGACAATATGCTTGTCTCTCCAGTCGCTGCCACATCTCATATATGGCCACGTCGAATACGTCGCGTGGCATGGCTCCGTCTGACAGGCGCCTTCGAGCGAACTTCCGTCGAGCTGCAAAACCGTACACTCGGTTCTACGGGCCATTCCTGATCCGACAGAAACACCTGCCATCACCGCCCACAAGTCCGACAGCGTCCTTCGCTCTCTTACGCACGGATTTTGAGACAGAAGAACCGGGTCCATCGATGTCATGTGGTAGCCCTCACGACGGTAGCCAAGTAGACACGACACCAGCATCTGGCACAGCTCAGCATGAGGATCGCGGTACGATACGATATACTCGTATCCAACCCCGAGTGGCCCCTGACCATGCGCGATAAGTAGTGGCCGTGGGTGTCCCGTTCAAGAAAGATCTTGACAAGCCATCACGGACTATCGCTGATCTCACGAAACCATTCCCTCGTCCAGAAGGTCAGCTATCTAAACCCGGCGCTGGAGGATACTCTCTCCACATCCTGAAGACTACGTATGGCTGGACTGAGGTAGACTATACTCGCATACAGGTTTGGCTCCCTGCATCATCTCGTTTGGCATATTCGTCTAATCCACGTCTATACTGGGCTAGCGCCGGTTGCAGCACATGTCCAGAACGCACTTTGACACCAAACTGACGTTCGCCCGGCAAGAGAGTAACGATATTCACCGCTTCGTGAACGAAGTTGGTGAACTCCCTCTCTCACAAAACATCCAGACTCATACGAGGTTTCAGGCTGTCATTGCATTCCCTGTACTTGCAGACTATGTGGATGCCTGGCCGGCAAGGGACTTCGCCACAATGTATCTCAAGAACTCGTCAGCCGAATATCGCGCCGCGGAGAAGGTGAGAGGGGAGCGGCTCTGACCTGAACTTACCGTACTGACGATGATTTCAGCGCGCGACCAGTACGCAGGTAGAGCCGCAATCGGACCATCGTCCCACTCGCAACGAGGCTAGTACGCCAATAGGGTGCGGAGACCAAGCGGCATGACCCTGCTAAGTGGAACGGTCCACGTACTGTCTTGAGCCATCCTTCGGTTGATCAAGACGGTTTGATCGCGAAGAACCAGAGGTCGGTATGGACGTTGTGATACTTAGATGCGAACAGAATGGCATACCATGCAGATCGCGTCCTCACGGGTGTCTCAGTAGCGTATGATGCGACAGCCAAACAGATATGATGGCTTATTCCTGGATGGTGCGCATCCGAACGGTGAATGTCAGTCGAACGATGAGAATGCGAGCGGCGACGGCCGACCGAGGCGGTCGCTCGTGGATAAAGAGCAAAGGGGCGGGCACGGGAGTCGCCGCGGGAAAGGCGATCAGGCTGCGCATGCGAACGAGAGTGCCTGATGGCTCGCTCCAGATTCGGGAGTCCGTAGGATGATACCTGGGCATCACACATTCTGGAAAGGGAGCATTATGCCCATGCTATGGACGATGTGTCTGGGGACGATGTTGTGGTTACAGTCACAGTGCAAAGCCAGACATCCCGGCGCGCGTCGATCCGGGGTTGCCTCTTACCCACGACCTAGCCACTGGCGCTTTCCGTGTTCCGCAAGGACAACCGTTGTCTTTGTTACTCTCGCACTTCTTTCATCCTTTGCTGCCGTCGATCGCCTTCTTATACCGTGCACATGGCGTCGCGTACGATGGACGCTCGTGTTCACATATCGACAATACACGCCGTGACATGGATCGATACCGCCGCGCCTTCCAGTTCTCCTCTCCTTCTCTAACAAGACCTGTCAATTGCTTGGCATTCACGAGCGACGGGAGTCTCCTGGCGGTCTGCTGTGAGTACTTTGGTCTGACGCGCTTGTACACCCTGCTGACCTAGCTGAAGCCGACGATCATGTCATACACATTATCTCAACCGAATCCAAGGGAAAGGTTTTCGTGACAGTGAGGACGTACGGCGGACCAATGGCTTCAGCCGTATGGTTCGCTGACGGTAGCGGTGGCCACTGGCTGGCGACGGGTGGCCATCAGGGCTACGTACGCCTACTACACGTGAAACTCGACGGCAAGAAGGTACGCCAGCAATGACCGTCAATTAAATTTCCACTCTGGGTGCTCATGCTGGTGTAGCTAGCAGTGATAGACGATACTGCGCCCCTTACTCTCGGGGACGACGAAATCGTCGATCTGGTTGTCGACCCATCCAGTCGCCATGTAGCCGCCGTCGGGCTTCATCGACTGTTCGTCCTCGCCATTGAGTATATCGCTCAAGGTTCGCGCCTATAAGTTTGCTTCTTCCTCTCCAACTTATGCGTCCTCTGTCTAGCGCCACTCAGGCTTGTCGAAATGTATCCGCAGCAAGGCCATCCCAAGGAAGAATCCAGGCTTTCCGGCGCTGCATTCTGTGATGCGGGAAATACACTGATCGTCTCTCATCTCGACGCTCGCATCATGTGCGTGCTCTCTTCCGTCTCTCCGGCCCAGCTTGCTAACATGACTCCACCAGACGTCTATACGCCTCAGATCCTTGGTCTGTGATGCACGATCTCCACGTCACTTTCAAACCGTGCGTTGTCTCGCCATCGTATTGTCTCCTCCTGCACCGACACATGCCCAATGAAATAGGATCAGCCTGTCCTGGGTCCCCGAACAGAGATGTTTGTTGGTGTATTGCATCGATACTGCTCACGTCAGGGTCGTTGGCATCAGTGACGGACAACTCATATATCGCCGAATATTGGAGATTCCTCACCCTGATCGGGGAGGTTACTGCAAGCAGGTTCGCTCCGCTCACCATGGACGGTTTGCCCTTTGCGGGTCCGATATCGGCTGCTTTCTCTGCTGGGACATCTCATCCGGTGCATCCGTACAGAGTCCCCTAGTTTGTGGGAGAGGGAGAGGTAGACCGACCTTTTTCGTCCGAATTGAAGCCTGTCTGACCATGGTCAGGTGATGTCGGCATACAGGGCGGGTATCCGGGATTGCAAGTCATTGCGGTGAGTTCCTTTGTCTATTCCTGGGAGGAGTCTTATCTAGCCACGCAGACCTGCAGCAGCTCCGGCGGAGACCATCAACTGGCGGGATCGTGCCACGCCTTTCCGCCGACTATCAACGTCTGGAAGGATGATATGGTCAGCAACATTGTATGATCATCTTGCCGACGTCCGCTGAGCTCAACAACAGGTATCCAGGCATGGCTCTGCGCCGAACCATCACGTTATCTATACCCTCAGCGTGCTGTCCATACTCATACTTAGTTTGGCGTACTCAGTGAGTGGCTAATCCTCTTTCATGCGCCGTACTGAACTGTGAACCCAGTTCCGGCTCATCCCTCACATGGAAGATGCTGTGAGCTCGATCTTGCGAACTCTTGGTTTACCGTTCTGTCTTGAGTTCTCGGTATATGCAAACCCTCGTTGTATTCGAATACGTACCGCTTAATTCTGCGCACTCGTCATCTCAATCAATTGCACAACGCACCGTGTGCGCGTCTCTTTTGAATACCGGAGTGGCGGTTCGTGCGGGGACCGATCGGCGTATCGGACGTCTGACCTCCGTTCCTCCGGTGACGAGTCTTCCATCGTACTTCTGGAGTGAGGGTAAGTGAGGACTTCACAGGATGGGGATCGGACGCATAGCCAGTCGCACATTCATGGGTAGGGTCGACACAAAAACTAGCACCAGAGCCTCTGCCCGTATCCACTGTACTGGAACTCTCTATTTGTCAGATTGGGTACGATGCCGACCGATGGGCATTCATGCAGGCTACTATTGACGCGCCGGTGCGGGTCCATCAGGTGATCGCGTCGAAGGCGTGCCTCCGTGGCCAGTAGTCGCCGTTCACGTCTATGACGCTACAAAAGGTCATCACGTTCATGATCAGTCCCTACGATCAAGAGATAGTCGATAACAGGTTGCGCGCTTTAGGCGGGAAGGCCCGCACCTTGGCCCTGTCTCGCTGCTGTCAGTATCTTAGCAAAGGCGAACATTCAATTCTCGGCATATCCCCGCCCTTATAGCTTACGCGTCTTTGAGGAATCGAGTTTGGCGCGGCATGTGGGCTCGCGTTCCGGACTGCGTTCCTCGCAGGATATAGAATGACCTAGAGCAGCACTGAACACCCGGTAGCATACGTGTATGGATGGGGTGCGACAAGAGACCGTCACTGGTAGCAATGAAGCAGCTATCCACCCGATTTCATGTCTCTGATCATCGTTGTACCGAGGACAACCAACGAGCCATGAGCATCGTACCTCCTGCCCATTTACTTGGGCAGGCTCCGCGATTGATTATACTCCGAGGCTCCTATCAAGGATCGGCGATCGCTCGTTACGCGATATCGGCGCAGAGACCGGTTCGTCCGGTCGGCATTCCCCGCACAAGACGGAGGTTTTCGCATTCCTTGTTCACGTTCGTTTGTTCTCCCCTCATGCCATCCCACCAAAGCTGATTCACGAGGCAGACTTTCTGACGACAGGCGCCTCAAGGCGTATCACGATGCCTAGTGCTCTTTGTTCGACGTCGCCGGCTGCGATATGCCATGATCTACGGTGAACTCGTGCATACGGCAGATATATAGCTACGCTGTATAAAACCTAGCAGACCTCGCTATGTAGTTGGGTTCAATACACGTCTTTTACTATGGAATCTAACCCTCCTGCCAGCTTTGCAGAACTCTTCTTACCGTCTCGATCGGCTCGCAGCCGCACGTCTCCCGACTTTTTCCCCCCGAACCATTGGCCGGCCGACTTCCATCCTCTCGACTTACCCTCACGTCTACTTCCACCGTCCCATACAGAGGATGTCTTCGGCCTCGATCCTTTCAACAACTCGACGCTTTATGGACTCAACGACGGGATATCGCCGATGGCGCTGCCTCCGCTGGGCAAACTTGAGGAGTTTTCGTTTGTTCCTCAGCCTTTCACTGGCCCCCCGCACCATACTCCGTACGGTGCGTATTGTCTGCTTGTCGAACAGGAATAATGAACTGACATAATTACCCCAGACGCAGAACCTTGGTGGAGTATTGGCGTCAATGGAGACCCCTTTCCCTCCTCTTCCTACGCCTCCGCCTCCTCCGCCTCCTCCGCCTCCTCCTCCGCCTCCTCCTCCGCC